GAGGGAGAAGGCAATGTCTAGACCCAGTGGCGTTTAGATCAATTATTATCAACTGCCCTAGTTCAAATAATTGGCTAGGAGTAATACACTTCACTAGCGAATGAAATTCTATACATTAAAGAAAAGACGTTGTCATCGTAATGTGAAATCGTGAAGGTTACATTTGAATCATGATAGCAATTTAAGAAATATTGTGTATTGTGTGTTACTTCTGGTCACGAAACATTGAATCAAGGTTGCTCACCTAAATACTTAAAATGTGTCGGTTGATGTAGAACCAGTAGAGAGTAGAATTCAATTTCCGAATAGATCCATCTGAGACTAAACCTCAACATTAAAAAATTACGTGCACAGCAGAATATAACATCATAAGTATTTTATAAGACTTGAGAATTAATGTATAATAGCAACAAAATACGTGTGTGTTCGTTCTGTGAATAGTAGAACCTCCCATGATCTGTGTTCCTTCAGCCACGTTCCTTCTGCGTCGGATATCATATTTTGTCAGCTGTCGCGTCGTGCTGGATGTCATGTCAGCTGTCATGTAATCTGTCATGTCAGCTGCCATGTCGTCCGTCGTGTCGTGTTGGTTGTCAGACGGTGTCAGCTATCACGTCTTTTATTCTGGCATGGTGTCACTTGTTAACCTCAATGATTTCATACTGTCAATGACACGTGAATTTTTATTAACATGTTACATTCTTTCCGCTACTTTTTGAGGCCTCAAAACCCCCTTTGCAAAAGCAAAAAGAGATTTGAAAATTCAAACAATGATTTCCAATGTGAGTAGAAAGAAACTCTTCTTTGAAGTATTGAATACGCGTCGTGCATCAAACTTCACACGCGGGAGGAAATGGATACCTTTTCTCCCTTGATATATAAACAGCTATTGTTGACGTTATCTGAATAAGCTAGGGTACCAATTAAAAAAAACGTATTGCTTATGACATCTTATCATAGTGGAAGGAGAAGATGGTGTGCCTACGCGCATATTATGTGACATCATCTGGGATACCAATATCAGCTGCTAGTCACAGACAGATACCGTTGCCATGGGCGTGCGCAATGAATTCAATCATGTTTGTTGAAATTTCTATAAGTTTCTCGATCTGTTTAGAAATAATTCAATTTATATAAACAGGTTCCTATTCCTTCGATTTTACTATTTCATTGATTCTGGAAATTGTGATCTTGAGGTAATTCGCAATCGCAAATAGCAAATACATACGAATTATCATGCATTGCCAATCCCATCTGAATGATCCGCTACTGTGTCGATTCTGACAGATTAAAATTCAGCAGTTAACGACATCGACAACAGGAGTATCAATTTTTGCCGTTTTGTTATTGAAATCTTTGCTGCAATTTATATTTTGTGAGAAATTAAGAGTTTTGAATTCATTTTCAATTATTCCTGACTTGATATTTGGAAGATGTTCTGTAGGAATGGCATCTTGTTTCAAATATTTGTGATTTTTTGGAGGTGTGTAATTCAAGAACCGTACTTTCGCACTTGTTTGGGAACATTTTGCATGGAAATGTTTTGAAGAAATACGTGCTGTAATATGAATGTGATGATAATATGATAGGTGAATACTTCGGAATGAGGATATAAGGAATATAAAGTAGGTACCATTATTTGAGCTTATATTCTGTCGGCAGCAAGCTCCCCCATCGTTTCATTAGGTCTCCATTCTTGGAAAAGCAGAAAAATTCAATATCTGTGCCTTTTGTATGTTAGTTGGAATTTTCATAACCAGAAACGAAACAAGTAGGCATTTCGAAATTATTTCATTCAATTTCAGTACTGATATAATATCTGAAGTTCGAGACATCAATCACGCAAACGAATAATCCTAATAACACACTTATGTCCCATGGATATCCTTAGGACGTCCTGTCGGGACATTCAGGACGTCCATAGGACGTTCGAATTTGGTACCGAGGACGTCCATTGGACGTCTGTGGGACGCACCAATGTCCCACTTGAGGACCAACTAGGGACGTCCTTGAGGGATGTCCCTGGGACAACTATCAAATACCTAAATCCTACAGTATTCTCATCAAGTACTACAAAGAACATTCTTAGGACATCCATAGGACAACCTATCAGCAACGCTGGGGATATCAATTGGATGTCCATAGGATGTCCCAGGAACGTACGAATTATTCTTGAATTTGAATTTTTCTGGGTCCCTCTAGGACCAGATCTTGCATAACTGATTAGGACATCCAGTTGAGTTGATGGTCTGTAGAAGGTCCCCAAAAAGTTTCCCAAGGATGTCCAATGGACTTACGTGGAGGACATTGGCGAGGAGTACTTATAGCCTACGAGCAATCATTCGTCGGCGAGGTGTAAGTTAAGGTCCTCGCAGGGACAACTTATTGAAAGTACCGACTGGGACGTCCATAGGACGTTATTTCTAGGACATTGATAGGGTAAAGTTCATGTACCAATTGGGACTTCCGACGGATATCCCTAAGGGACATTCGAAGGATGTCCCTAAGTGACATTTCGATTGTTATACTATCCTGGAAATATTAAGGGCGTCTGTACAGAGATATTTGAAGGAATGTACCATCAGGGACATTTCATGGTTGTCTAGAAGGGACATTATATAAGATCTGAAGTCATGCCAAAATATGTACTACTCGGGACATCCGATAGATGTCCCTAAAGGAACGTTTAGAATCATATCCCATCAGGGACATGCCAAGGACGTCCTTGCATGGACATTCTACAATATGTACCACGTGGGACGTCTAAGGGATGCTATTTCTAGGACATTTGGAATGATGTACCAGCTGGGACATTCCGTGGACGTCCTTGCTCGGACATTGCATGAGATGTACGGGATGGGACGTCCCAAGGACACTTATTTTTGGTTCGGGACATTCGGACATGAATTGTACCAAATAGGGACGTCCCTAGGACGTTGTGTGCTATTAGGGAATATCAATGACAGTTATATCCCAGCTGACGTCATGCGCAGAACAAGACGAGTTTGAGCTTTCTGTTGAGCACACCAATGCATCTTATGATCATTCTATAACGCTGAATGATGATAACGTAATCTGAGAAACGTTTTCTCTACGAATCTATTTTTATCGAGAACATCCAGGCCGGATGGTTCAAGTAACGATAATGCCGATGAATAGTGGAAATTTGTTAATCTATACCACGTTCAGGAATCCTTAATGAAACAACAATATCTCCTCTTTAGGTGGACGTGCTAAAACCCCGATTTCTGTGTCTAAAACAATCGCATCCGCTATATTCTTGCGTTACATTGTCTTTTGATTCTGTGGGCTATTCTAAAACACCCACTCAGCTCTCAGTTTCTTTCGTTCATAAGATTTGTCCATCCAGGTATCCAGAACAGACTAGGCGCTTGAGGAAAAATAATCAACTGCAAAATATTTCCATTGTTCCGGATTCGGATATTTTCAGCAGTAAAAGCGTGCATATTAGGCTGATGTTAACTAAATTTCAGCTCGAGTGGAACTTGTCAGCGTTCTGGACCAACTATTTGTTTGGAATCAGAACGAAACAATTTATTGGTATGGCTAATAGAGTGACGTCGGGTGGTGAACATAAATTTCATTTTGAAAAACAAACTAATTTTCCATATAATGGGAACACGCAAAACCAAAATTAATCGACGGAATGCGCCATTCATGCGAGTTATTTGATAGCCTCAACTAATAATTGTCAAAATCCACCACGCTATTGTTGTTTTGTGGGCATGAACGATTGGCTACGAAAATTTGTCAATTTGTCATCGGTGTGAATGTGGAACGAAATACGTATAGTAATGAAGGTCATGGACTGAGGCGACAGAAACTCATTCATAACACCAGGATCTTCGAAATACCCGATAAATACAATGGAGGAAGGCGAAGGAAAAACTATTGGGATATTTCACTCACTTATACAGGGTTTTGTGTTCTCCTCCGATATTAGCCAAACCGTCAGGTATATAAAAAATATTTTTTCTGTGACGGGAAAAAAGTTTGGCATTTCATCTCTGTTGGCAGGTTATAAAATGCCACTTTTCATAAAATTATTTTCATATCTATATATATGTTCGAATTCCAAGATATCGGCTGATGATGGGTGTTTTCAAATGGGACACCCTGTATATTATTGCATTTCAAAATTTTTCCTGAAGAGATGATTTCATCAATGTATCACACTTGAGTTCTAGCGGAAATGATTCATGATTGATCAAAATTCAAGGTTTCTGATCACCCTGTATCTATTCCAATTAAATTCCAGTAGATAGTAAATCAAACGTTGAGATTGGGACATGAAAGCCGTTTCGACCAATAATGAATAGTTCTGACACAAAAAAATCCCAAATTTTAAAATTTTCGATTCTGAACATTTCACTCTTCAAGTGCGATACATTGATCAAATCTGCTCTTAAGGGAGAATCAGAAAATGTGATGATATACAGGGTGTCTCATTTGAAAACACCCATCATCAACCGATATCTTGGAATTCGAACACCATATATAGATAAAGAAGATATGAAAATAATTAGAGGTGATAGTTCTCAAGAAACAATATAACTGTTGTATTCGAATTTTTTCTATATATCTGACGGTTTGGCTAATATAGAAAGAGAACACACTATTGACTCACCCTGTATTACCAAAAAATATTTGACAAGAATGCATAACATTATGTAGAGCTTTTGAGTACCATATTTCAGAAAGAAGTTTCAAAAAATCGGCCACCCTATAATAAAATACTGAATCTGTTATGGTTTCTTTGATGGATTTATTTCCATATTTGAATTGATATGCTGCTTCTGATGATTGATGATTTGATCTCAAAACTTCGTTCATCAGAAATCGAATTATATCTTCAATCACAATATTTACCTATTTCCCATGTTCTATGATAATAAATACAGTACACTACTTTCTACTCATAGGTCGAGATTTTCTGATATATTTTTTGTGTGAAGGTCTATCTATTGAGTGGTACTTACGATGAATATCCAGCTTCCACCCATCCTCAATGCCGCTCTCCTGTATCTGAGGTTGTTGGCCACGACATGACAAATATTTGCCGCCATCTTCTACCGTTGGAATGAAAGTTAAAACGCTTGTAGTCGTATTTCGATCAGGACTAGTCTGAAAATGAAAAAATACTATTTCAACCCAGCTCAGCTGCATTCGAGGTTCACAACTAGACATTGATAGCATTGAGTCCAGCTACTACTTGAGCCATTTTTCCTCGAGGTTAACCACACAGAACGGGTCAACAATAATTTAATCAGTCAATTTTGCTCGAAATGTATTCCACAATATGAAGCAATAGTTAACCAACTCACTGAGGTACTTCATGGAGTAGTTTAGGCTTCTGATTGGATTGGTCACAGAATTATAGGCTCTTATTTCTCATTCTTGTTGTTGATGTTATAATCTGAGGTTATAATATGAAATAATTACCATTTTTAATGAGATAGGTAATTATGGATTTATATGGAGTATTTGTGAATGAAAATTCTTACCAGATTGTTGACGAGAAATGAATAATTGACTTATTGAAAATAGGTGAGTACATAGCTAGTTGAGTGCATTTTCTTAGTTTCAGATTTAGATCAATTGGTAGGTAAGTAGGTACTTAATTTTTCTCTTAAGTATATTTTTATTACAAATGATGAATTTCCCATTCAATAATATGACAACTGAAACCAAACAGGCGATTACAAATGAATAAATAACGACAGCTGACTGAGCTGACAAAATGACAGCTGTCAAGCTCCACAAGTAAACCGTGACGTCATGATAATGTTAACTCGGTTTGCCTCTTGAGGTTCGAGGAAAAATGAAAGGACAATGGTAAGTGGAAATGTAGATAGGACGTCCATGAGAAGGGCAGCAGATATATGAAAAGTATCATGGGTCTACCCCCTCTCAATACTATTTTTGCTTCTGTTACGTGGATGAGTCAGGTTGAATATGAAGATTATCAATTGCTTTTCCATCAATGAATGAACGATTCATACTTGGCCATTTTGAAATACTTTGGTACGCTCATGTCAAGTCCCACGCTATGTTCAATTCGGGTACTCTTGGTTATTTTTCGTTATGAATCAGCCAGTAGTATATGAATTTCAAAAAACGAATTGTTGATGTCATTACCTTGGAAAATTATGACTTAATGAGCTTCACGCGGTCGAGGAAAAATGAATTAAAAGTTTTTCTGGATTCCATATTAATGAAAGACGCAGAAGATTTTATAATTGGATAATTCCCATCTCCATTATAATTAAGAAACACCTCTTTTAAAAACCGCCATCATTATTTTGATCTTGTTCAATGGTAGTATTGCCACCGAAAGTTATAACCATAAAGTGCTAGTTTGAAGTACAATCTTGAGATTACTTTTCTGTTTGTTCAGATCAGAATTCTCAGTCAGTCTGGTTTCTAACGCTTTTTTTTTTAAGATCATGAGACGAATATCAATTAGTGAGTTTTTTCAATGGGACTTATTTACCTTCACTGAAATTGTTGTCAGATACGAACACTTTAGTATAGTAGGTATATTATAAGCTTGATATGGCCCCCTATGATTGAATCAATAATAAAAGTACGTTAGCTCTCTGCCTACTAGAATAATGATTGTGAAGAAATTTTATGAACTGAATTTCCTATTTATCCAATTACAAAAGGGAAAGTATTTCGCGCATTATAATAATATATATCGACAAAAATAGGAGAAGGATAAACTCACTAATGGTTCACTGACCCCAGCGAATGGATCGCATCCAATATCTTTTCAATCAAGACGAATGGGAAAATCACGGGGACAAACAACTGGGATGTATCCTCAGAAAATAGTCGTTGCTCCAATTTGGTTTCCTATATTTCCAGTAATTAAGTCTCGCATAAAGGACAAGTCCGAGTGTCAATGACGAAGAACTAGGGTTGGTAACTATATAATCAACAAGAAATGGGTTCATTCGAACGTACACTGATGAAAAAAGTTGTGGAATAACATGATACAGAACTGGTATAGTTTCAACAAGACATCATATTAAATCTATGGTGGAAGTCCATCGTATTTAAAAGTAGAGTAAATGGATGAAGTAGTACTAGAACTCTGAGTCATCATTGTATGTGATTTGAATTTCACGACATTGGACTGAATCTGAAACTGATTGATGCACAGAATTTACTCTGAACAAATGATTCCACCTGTCTCGAAGACTTATTAGGATGAGTAGTAGGTGGATACTCTTCCATTTTATTGATCATGTATGACATGCGAGTTATGTAGTTTTGAACTTTCGTTAGGTGCAAGATCTACTTGAAATGATATAATGATTCAGTTACATTTTTTTTACCGAATTGCTTTGTGGATCTGTATTTTTGTTGAAGCTGTGAGAATTGAAATGAAAGAACACCTGGCTATAGACACATCTAAATTGACCATTAGTAACATTGTTGATATTAACGACGAAGAATCATTCAAATACTGATGTATCAATTGTGTCTCGAACTTGACAAAACGTTAAGAAGTCAATGAAATACTTCATTAAGCGATTTTGAAACCAAATTTTTCTTTGGCCGATTATGTTTCAACTGAGACAATTATAAAACAGGCTTCACTCTGGTCCTGTGGAATTCATTGTGAAAGCCTATAGGCCACAGTGCATTTATCTATGTCAGTTGTTGAACCTACATGATATTTTATATTCTGAACTCAAATCTCAACTCATAGGAATGAGACTGTATGAAAATGACTGGTGTAACAAAAAGTTACAAATTCAACTATGTACTCAGTCGCAGCAACAATAAAATGGAATTCCCAGGTAACTACAAACGTTAGGTCTTTGAATACAACCCAACCCAATTCAACGATTTGGTACATTCTTATGAAGAAGGTATTGAATCAAAATGAAGGTATCGAACATACATCTCATCTCTCAATTTTTACTACTGCACAAGGTTAAAGGAAAAGTAATAGCTACAACACGTAACTATAAAGAGAACAAGATGGGATATTTAACGTAGGGTTATGCTGATGGGTCATATAGTTTGGATATCCCTGAAGCTTCTGTTAGGATAAGTGACGAAGTACGAATGAGTTTAGTATATATCGAACAACGATCGAACAACGATATATCGTCTATAGAACGGCGAAGCTTCGGAATCCTTTGCCAATTGAAGTGTTCCCAAGAACTTATAACCTCCAAAAGTTAAAAGAAATCCATCACCTACCTCCTCTCCCTTTCCTTCCTAGGGACGCACGATGTTCCACGAACATTATAGGGATTTCCTTTCGTGTGCTCCAAGAGATAACAAAACATTAATTGGTCCACACTTAGACATGTATTGAATATAGTAGCACTTTTACTCTCTGATTCACATTCTCCAACAGTAACATTTATATAACAACTCTGACTAATATCTCTCGATATATTCGAATATCATACTGTAAAGGATGATTAGAGTAAAGCGCTACTGTGAATGATCACAATAATAGCTGGTAGTGAGGAATATAATATTGATTGTGGTAATAATAATATCCATCTGAAACTGAAAACTGATCACTAGCCAATTAGGGTTCACCCATAACATTTTGACTTTAACACTTCATAGATTTATGGAGGCATATTTTTTATTTGATCATTTTCGATGGTTTTTTTATCGAACCGTAGGGCAAATAGTCATGAGGATGCATTTGAATATGTACTTTATATGTACGTCACCGAAAGGAAAATGACTCGTGATAGTATATTACGTAACAAGTGTTGTGAGTGTGTAATTCCATGAGTGCTCAATTGCTCCACAACAGGCAATACGTACTATATACTTCAGCTACGGCTATATACAGCATCCATATAAATTGATCAGAATTTATAGAAAATAATGAAAGATTATTTTCATCGTAGATAGATTCAATTGAATAATTTAAATTCAGCATTAGGAAAAAATTAAATTTTTTTCTGTGACGGGAAAAACGTTTGGCATTTCATTTCTGTTGGCAGGTTATAAAATGTCACTTTTCATAAATTACTTTTTTCCCGTGGGAAAAAAGTGGGTACTTTTTTTCCAGATATATATCACATATACATACACTGTTGATGGCTTTTGTTGTGCTATAGTTCCGAAAAATGACTCAATAATACCGTCTCCGAGAAAGAACTGTAAGTCATTTTATCTTCCGAGTTATCTTCCATTCGACTTCGCGGTTACGTATATATTACTAAACAACCACTAAATTCGCAATTTTTCGAAATCAAATCACAGAATTAGACTGACAGAAGTGACATCAGATATTTGATTACTTCAAAAGAATGATAAAGATGCCTACAACGCAGGTGTCCCTACTGTTAAAAACTTAAAATTTCACGTCGACAATTTTCAGATTTCAAAATGATGTATTATCTTCTCAATATTGATTCGTGCTTTCTTCTGTCACAGAAAAAAATAGAGTATTGTACACGGGAAAAATATTAGATTTTAGCTCACGGTTTTTTTTCCCTCCGCTACGCGTCGGGAGACAACACAACCTGGAGCTAAAATCTACTACTTTTTTCCCTTGTATTATGAATATATCGCGCCATATTTCACTACAGAGGGATTTTGGCTATCAGGCACAAAATGGAAAAAATGCAGTTATACTTCAATCGGAAATGATAATTTTTCACATTTTTCAATTGTCTCGCTCCATATTGGGCTAATATTCAACAAGTTTTGTCGAATTTTCCAAAAAAAGTATCGAATTGACATTTGAATATTTTTAGTGAATACACACAATGGCGCTAGTATTTTTCAAGTCCCTTCTGTTTGTTTTTGTTTGAAATGTTAGCACCATTCACATTTCAGAGTCCTTTGTTTACCCAGAAACACAATTCAATAGTATGGAGATATCATCATTCCACTATGCTTTCTATTTTGTTTTTCACTTCATGTTGACATGTTGACTGTTGCCTCGAATCTGAAGGCTATAAACAATCATTTCATCATTACTCTGAGGCATAATATAATAAATGCATCATAGTTCTTTGACAAACCCCAACAAAAGCGGTGACAGCTCTTATAAAAGTCGGCCCTTTATTTTCTGAAGAAGGTTGTTTTGTTGATTCAATAGGGAATTTTGAAATAATCTGTAACAACCT